GGCTCTGTGGGAGCTCCCAGCTCCAGGGGCACTGGCAGAGCCAGGCAGTGTTTTCCTTCTGGGAGCCTCCCACAGAAAGCAGCTGCTGCTCCACCGCCCCCGGGGGTTTGTTCTCACTTCAAACACTCATCTCTTTCAGTATCTTAACCCCCCCCACCCAGACATTTACAAGCATTTCAGCATTTTCGAGGTAAAATAGTTTTACTAGAAACAAAATTCCATCTCCCGTTCTCCCCTCTTCCCTCCCCACAAGTGGCCGTTGAGAAGCTGCAGTTCGGAGGAGCAGCTCGTCGACTGGAAACAGTTTTTGGCAGCTGCTCGATTTGCCCCAAAAAACGTGGGGAAAAAAAGATTTCCTTGGGGGTCCATTTGGTATCGTTGAGCTTCCCTTGATTTTTGGGTCAGGCAGGTGCTCAGGTGGTCCTGATCCTACCTGGAGCCCCAGAGCTCCCAGGAGTCCTGGCTGCTCTCTGATGACTGTCACCCCCCGCCCTTCCTCTCCTGCCTCTCCCCTCTCCGTGGCTGCATCTGTTCCTTCAACCTCTCCACTTCCATCGCATTTTCATCCTCTGGATGTTTCCTCTCCCTGCGCTGTCTCCCTCTCTTCCTGCCATCCTTTTCCTCTCCCTGTTTTCTGCCTCCTGTCGCATTAACTCCTTCCTGCCCTGCTCCTTCCTCCGTCACTCCCTCCCGTCTCTCTCGGCCGGTCTCTGCCTCAGGTACTTGATCATCGAGAACTTCATCCCCCCCGAGGAGAAGAACAAGATCATGAACCGCCTGTACTTCGACGGTGACGAGGACCAGTGGAAGTTCCAGCCGCTGGTGCCCACCGGAGGGTACGTGCCCGGCCCGGCCCCGGCCCAGGCGCTGCCCCAGCGCTGATGGCCCGTGGGCACCGATGTCCCTGGGGCTGGGACCCTGCAGGTGCCCACGTGTGGGAATCCCCCCCAAGCCAAGCCCCGGGGGCAGGGCCTCGAGCTCCCCCGGTCCCCTCTCGGACACGGCCGTGGTCAGTTCGTGTTCCCTCACGCGGGTTCTCCCCCGCCTGTGCCGCAGGAACAGCTCCCAGATGAAGAGGCGCCCGACCTCGGCCGTGGGCTACAAGAGACCCATCAGCCAGTACGCCCGCGTGGCCATGGCCATGAGGTCCCACCCCCGCTTCCGGGTACGCCACGGGGCGCTGGCATCTGCTGGGGGCATGGTGGGGTCGTGGGATGAACGGGATGGGGGTGGGTGGATGGACGGATAGATGGACTGGGGTGGGTGGATGGATGGATGGTTGGATGGAAGGAGAGGTGGAGGTGGATGGTGAGTGGGTGGATGGATAGATGGGTGGATGGACAGACAAACACTGGGACAGAAGATGGAGTAAACAAGCTCATGATCACCTGGGATACGTCAGCTCAAGCTCCCAGCTTTATCCCGCCCCTTGGCAGATCCCTGCTCTCAGCTGCTCCTGGAGCTGCTGGCCCTGGTTCCAGCAGCTCCTGCTGCTGGGAAGGACAGGGCTGCTCGGCCTGACCCGCTGGGAGCTGGGCCAGGAGAGCCTGAGCGGAGCTGAGGGCCGGTGTGGAGCTCTGCTGTGCCCCAGCAGCAGAGCAGGGCCCTGCTTCCCAGCAGGAGCAGCTCCTCCTGGCCCCGGGGTTCGCTGGCCCTGGGGCCGCTCGTGCCACGTGGTGACTGCTGTGCCCGTTCCCGCGTTCCCCGTCCCCGCAGGCCGAGAACATCATGTTCCTGGAGCTGGACCTCTCCCCCCCGGCCATCTTCGAGTTCGAGCGGAGCCGGGACCCGGCGGAGCAGGACCCGCGGGCGCTGCACCTGGAGCGGCTGATGCGCCTGGACAGCCTCCTGGAGCGGCCGGCGGCCTCCCGCCTGCGCAAGTCCCGCTCCTGGTGAGCGAGCAGGGGGGGCCATGGCACGGCTGGGGGGCTCCCTGGGGACAAAGGGGGGGCTTGGGGCAGACAAATCCCCTGCTCCTTTTGGGGCTGAGGCTGGCCCTGAGTTGCTGGGGGGGATCGGAGTTTAAAATGTGGCTCACGCTGAGTTGTCATCGTGCACAGCTCGGTGCAGGAGGGACGTGGAGCTGCTGGAGACAGTCCAGAGGAGGCCCCAGAGATGCTGCCAGGGCTGGAGCCCCTCTGCTCTGGAGCCAGGCTGGGACAGCTGGGGGGGCTCACCTGGAGAAGGGAAGGATCCAGGGAGAGCTCAGAGCCCCTTCCAGAGCCTGCAGGGGCTCCAGGAGAGCTGGAGAGGGACTGGGGACAAGGCATGGAGGGACAGGACACAGGGAATGGCTTCCCACTGCCAGAGGGCAGGGAGGGATGGGAGATTGGGAAGGAATTGCTGGCTGTGAGGGTGGGCAGGCCCTGGCACAGGTTGGGCAGAGAAGCTGTGGCTGCCCCTGGATCCCTGGAAGTGTCCAAGGCCAGGCTGGACGGGGCTTGGAGCACCCTGGGATAGTGGGAGGTGTCCCTGCCCATGGCAGGGGGTGGAACAGGATGAGCTTTGGGGTCCCTTCCCGCCCAAACCATTCCATGATTCCATGATACGCGTATACCATCCCCACAAGGTACTGCCCTGCCCAGCACAGGGTGCTGCCTGCAGATGATGGAGAAAACGACTGGATTTTGGGGATTTGGGGGCCCGCAGGCGGCAGGGGCAGCAGAGCCAAGCTCCGATCCCCTCTGTCCCCCAGGTGCCCGACGCCGCGGTCGCTGCCCTCCTCCACCACACACGTGTCCCTCGCCTCCAGCGCCCCGTGTGCCGCGATGCCAGCCGTGCCAGCGGTGCCAGCCATGCCAGCTCAGGAGTGACTCCTGGCACCTGCTCCGGACTGAGCCCCAGGGGGCCAAGGGAGGCCCGGCCGAGCCTGGCCCAGCCCGTCCTTGTCTGCAGCTGCTTTGTGTGCGTGTGTTTGTGAGACACGAACGGCCCGGCGGGGACTGCCCCTCCCTCCCTCCCTCCCTCCCCCCCTCCCTCCCCTGCCCCTCCCCGGCCCGGATCTGTCACTTTATTTATTTAAGCTATTTATTTATGGTGGAGGCGGGAGATGCTCGGACTGTTGGACGTGCAGGGCTGGCCCTGGGCACTGTGCTGACCCCCCCAGGTCTGTGCAGCTCCCAGCCCTGCCCACGCCATCCTGGCACAGGGCTGGGCACCGCCAGGACACCACTCACCGGCCAGGAGGGGCACGGGACCCTCAGCGGGGGCTCTGGTGGGAGCTGAGGCCGCCCTGGACTCTGGTGCTGGCTCTGCTGTGCTGGATCCCAGGGAATTTGGAGATTTCCACACGGATTTGGAGACTCGGTGGTGGCAGCACCTTTGTCAGTCCCCCAGCAGGACTGCCCAGCCTGCCTGACACGGGTGGCAGCAGGGACATCTCACGGACATGGGCACGGCTGTCACTGCAGGAGCACCAGCTCCATCCCCAGGGCTCACGGAGTCACCAAAGCCAACCAAAGCCAAGGGCTTTGTCCAGCTGTGCCGCACTCTGGAGGCAGCCCCGGCCTGTCACGGTGCCTGACACCATCTCCCATCCCTGGGGTGGGACTCCTGACAGCAACAACAAGAGGTGGAACCTTCCAGCCCCTGCCACCCACCCTTCCCAAAGACAGGCAGCCCGTGGAGAACAGAGGGGTGAGATGAGAGTGGCTCCATCCTGCAGCTGAAGGCAGTGGAGGTGACGCCCAGGGGAGGGGTGTCATCGCTCTCCTCCGGGCTGGGAAATGCCACAGGGAAGTCACTTCTAAGCTGGGAGAAATTTCCAAGTGTGTTGTGGAGGGACGGGTGTGAAATGGGTGATGGGGAAGCCACGAGGCTGCTCTGGGGACACGAATCCCATCCCAGCTGCCGCACACACTGGGACGGCGCTCGGTGTTCCTGCGGCTTTCGGAGGGAGGGAAGGTGGGACCTTGGTGAAGGCCCTTCCTGGCAGTGCCAGGCCAGCAGCTGTGCCTTCCTGGCGTGGGGGAGGTGAGGAGATCTGTTTGTGGGACACGATTCTCACGGATAAGGGAGCGACCCCTGGCTCACCTGGGAGGGTGTGGATTGGCAAAGGGCACAGGGAGTCCCCGGGAGGGCAGGTGGGAGAAGATTGCAGGAAGGGAAAGTCTTCTGGAAACAAAGAGAATTCCTTTACAGAATGGTTGAGATTGGAAGGGACCCCTGGAGCACATTACTCAGGATTGTGTCCAGCTTTGGAGTATCCCCAGGGAAGGAGACTCCAGAACCTCCCTGGGCAGCCTGATCTCCCGCTGTTGGACTGGTCAGTGCTCACCCCCATGGTCCTGC